AGCTGTAAATGTCGATATAGTTGGTGTAAAATAAGAAGCAATAAAAGCTTTGGAGCAAAGTTTAATAAACTTCCCATCTATAATGTATTAGGTCAATGGGTTTATTCCACGTAATGTAATTGGTTGGCTGTAATAGTTAAAAGTTATTGTAAGTGAGGTGTAATTGGTAATGATATTACCTAGCTACAAAAAAAAAAACAAAAAACCTAGCTCTTATAGCCCCATTTGAACCCCAAAATGAGATAAGCACCTTGCAATAAAGGAAAATTAGATAATTTATATTAAAGCTAATTATTTTATTTTATAATTATTTTTCAAAAAATTGCGAGAAACCTTCTAAAATTCGCCGGAATTTCAGTTGAAAATTTCCACTGGAAATCTATCGGAAATTCTGTCAAAAATTTTGGTTGAAAATTTCCAATGGAAATCCGTCATAAATTCCACTGAAAATTTTGGTGACAAATTTTCATTGGCAATTTTGTTGGTAATACGTTTTTTTCCTGTATAAGGTCTTGATGCTTAACATCTTCACAATAATAGATAACTCTGAGTGAGTAGTGCACCACTACCAAATTGATTATTGAGCATCATATAACAAATCATAGAAGTTATGTACATCCTTATTTGATGACTATTCTATATATTATTGAAATTAAGATCTAGTTGTATCATAAACTAAGCTCTCGAACGTCCTGATATTTTCTTCCTCAGTTATGTTGAAAATTATAGATGGGTTGCATCGAAAGTTGAAATGTGGCTCGTATTTATCATGAGAAGTTCAAAACCAATTAGAGGGTGCAAACGAGTGGAGTCGAGCTCGAGTCAAGCCTAACTTGAGCTCCATGCACGAGCCAAATTCCGAGCTCGAACTAATTAAAGCTCGAACTCGGAGCATGACTCGTGCCAAAAAAATGAGCTCAACAAGCGGCTCGTGAGCCTTTCATAATCTGACTTTGCTGATATGCCTAATATGTATGCACGCACAGATGTCGCTCACCTTCGATCTGTCTTTTGCTTTTGTAAGAGAAGACTCCACTCTTTGCTTTGTTATTCACCCAGGTTAATCGAGCCGGCTCAAAAGCAATTGAGCAGAGCAGCACATGAGCTCGAACTCAAGCTCGATAATACAACAAGCTCGAATTTCTGCTCGAGCTCAAGCTCAAGCTCGAAGCTCGATATTATGCTCGGCTCGCAAGCTCGCTCCGCTCACTTACACTACTAATAACAATATTCTGGCATGAATCCTTTGCGATATATATCAATAGTTATCTCATCTAGTGTGAGGTGCACTTGATTTTTATATTTTGAATAGGGACAACGTAACTTCCCATCCGAGATAAATGAAGCTACTTGACAAGCTGCCTAGATGAACAAATTCACCTCGTTAATTAACGAACTCATCTATTAATGTCTTCCTTCCAAGCATCAATCGCTTATACATCCAACATCTTTGATTCCTAATATTCATATCGCGCTTGAGCAATGAAGACCTACACATAAATAGATCAAATGCTTTTCTCCTAAAATTTGATTGAGCAAATTTTCTAGTGTTCTATAAATATTTTGTAGAGGTACAGTAAATTCAATAAACATCTATGCTAGTTCTTCACCTCCAATTAAAATTTTTTGTTTAATTCATATAGATGCAACTTCAATCTTCTTCATATCAACTCTCAAATATTTGCTAACTTCTATCTACATTTTGGAAAGATTCAAACATGATGCAATTATGTCAATAACCATTGAATTGAAAGTAATTTTATGTATTAATTATTATAGGATAGAAGTTATATATCCATGTATTTCCCATCTCATAAATGATTGCATTCTAAAGACTTCAAATATAGTACAAATACTTTGTAAACTTTGCAGTTGGATGAATTGAAGGACTTTGATACATTGGCAAAGCATATGAAATTTCACTCGAATTCAAAATTATGTCTATAACTTAATTAGCATTCACATTTGTCAAAGTATATTTGGAGGTATCTCATATTCCTATAAAACAACAACAACAAAAAAGTAATCAGAGAGTAGATCGATGAAGAAAACTTATCGAACAACAATAAAGGGCGAGTAAAGAGGATGAATGGCCTTGGAGAAGAAATTGGACGGAGTAAAATAGACGGGAACGATTGATTGGAAGCAGTCAGATCGAGCAACAAACGGGAGAGGGCTTTCATGTGAGAACCGACACAGGAGAAAAATTTGGGTAATTAGACGTAACACGAGGTAAAATACTGAAGTAGGTCTTTCTCAGGCAAATTGTCGACAAAAATTCCTCTAGTAAATTTCTGACAGAATTTCCACGAGCAATCAATCGGAGAAAGTTACACAAATTTCCATAGTCAAATCCGTCGATATTCCCGCCGCTATTTCTGGCGGCTAATTATCCACTAGAAATAGACGTTTTTCTGTAGTTATTCCATCTTATTAAATAGAGAGAAGAAATGTCATTCTATAAACTTAATGTTATGAAGTATTCTAAGAACTTTATAGTCATTGAATATTTCAAAAAAAAAATCATAATTTTAAATGTCCCTATATGATGAAAAAGTACTATTCACACAAATAAAAACTAGAGAAAATGAGGAATTTAATGAATGAATTTTAACTTGTGAGCTTTCTTAAACTCTTGAGACATGTCGCTTCAACCCTCGCTCCATTAGTGATGGTATATATAGTGTTAGTTATTTTATTAATTAATTTCAATACTAAGCTCCCCTTGCGTCTATTTATTGGCATATAGATTAACTTGATGCTCAATAAGATGTCCTAATTAATTTTATTAATTTCTCAATCAAAGATTTCAACATTTTGTAGTTCTCTATGTAGTGGTGGAATCATTATGATATAAGTAAAGTTATTATTGATACCCTTTACAAAACTTTTCATTAAAATTGACCACTTAAAATATTCTCTATTTTGAAGGACCATAATGACTAGAGTGAGTGATTGATTCAATAGAGATAGGCACAAATATGCATGTATGTATGTGTGTGTGAATGATACAAGGAAATTGGGAATTATTTTAAAATTTTTAAAGATAGGATTTGATTTCTCAGTTGATAACTTACTAAAATATTCCATATTCATATAATATAGGACAATAGATTATGTCCTCGATCCTTTGATCCAAAAAAAAAAAGATGCTCTCATTCTTGTGATTTCCCAATTGACATAGCCAAGTTGGGGTTCAGTTAGGGTTCATTGATGGTGGTTCGGAGATGGCACAGTGGAGGCTACGTCATTTAATTTGTGAGCATGATATACATGATATATCATTTTGAAGCTCTCAACTCTATGAGCCTAACAGAGTTCACATATTATAATTTTAAGATTGATAAGAATATCTTTGAGAAGATTTTGGGATCAAATTTAGGGTTGATAAAAACTAATGATGACAGTATATTATTTTTTCCTAAAATGTTCGCATTCTTAAGTGCAATATATCTTCATTGTGGTTTGTTAATTAGGGGCGTATAGGTCTTAAGAGCTATGAGAACCTCATATCAAGGCATACAAATAATGTCAAATCAGATGAAAATTGTGACAATGGAATGCCACCACATGCTGATCACAAGAAGAATGACCGAACTCCCCCACCACTATTATATATCAAAGAGAATGGTTCATTCTAATCCCTCAATGCTATAGTAAGGAAAATGGATCAGAAAAGTGGAGGTAGCATTAGTTGGCAACCCATGGTGTGTATGCTCGATTATAGGGTCAATTTCGTGAATAGAAGGCAGTATGATATAGGCTCTTTGGATAAGATTGATTTGATCAACCTCATGCCAGTTCAATTAGTTCAAACCCTGGATGTTGAAATAGTTAGCCAAATGATTGTTTTGACTATAAACTTAAAAATGTTGGTCCATCTAATCATGAAAAGTTACATATAAAGTTTAAATCTACGCCGATGCAATATTCAAAGTTCTTTAAGATTTAACAATCCACATTAGGATTTCTGATTTGAATGTATGAGCTTCATGTAACCAATCAATCATAATCTATATCTTCTAGTTTGCCATCGAGTTATGTTAAATAAATTAATTGATCCTAAACACTAGTTATATTGGGCTTGTGAGGAAGTAGCCAACTCTTGCACTTAAGAGTCCTTAGAAAGCAATATTATCGTTTTTTTCTATCACCAACTATTCCCTAATTGATAAAAAAAAAAAAAAGAATCACCGCATCGCTTCGCTTAAAAAAAAAAAAAATCGCATCGCTTCGCTTTATGCCTCTATTGATATCCCTAAGAACGGAAATTTTTTTTTTAATATCATATCTTCAAAAATTGTTGTAAGAAAATTATTCTCTTAAATAATGTGAATTTATTGATATTATTTTTAAAGCGATCTAATTTTTTTGAATAACAATGATTAATTATATGCATATTCTTATGATAAATATATGAAGTTGAAAGACCAATAATTTTAGAGAAAAAAATATTATGCTGCTAAGTACTAACCCATAATAAAAAAAGAAATTATCAGTGCGTTGTTACTAAGGCTTCATTTGGAATAATTTTTTTGTTGATTCTTAAAACAGTGTTTTAGTACAAAAATTTAATTTTTATACTAGAAAACTGATTTAAGAAGCAACAAAAAAGACATCCCAAATGAAGATTAAAAAAGAAAAAAATTATGACTTCATTTGGGACGGCTTTCTTACTGCTTCTTAAAACAGCATTTTGTTTGTGACGACTTTCTTACTGTTTCCTAAAGCAGATTTTTAGTTAAAGATTTTAAATTTTTTATGTTAAAATGATGTTTTAAGAAGCAATAAAAAAATCATCCCAAATAAAACTTATATTTTAGTGTGAAACGTAATTTTATGTTGGACTGTAGTCAAGTCATGAGAAATTATTAATCTCGGTGATTTGTTTTAATTTAAGAGCTGATTAATAATGTGATTATGAGCCTTTTTTAATTGATGGACGCCCTTAAGCCGTTATTTTTTATAAACTAATCTGTGGAATGAAAATTAACCTTTTAGCGTATTTTATTATCTGGCTGACCAAGCGACGACGCCGTGTGCTTAAAACCTTATGCGCATTTCTACATTTTACTACGATATATTCGCTTGTTTTTTGTTGATTTTTCTGCCGCTATCGTTCTTCATCAATTCTTCTCGTTTCTACACCTATTTCGGATTGTTGTTTGCGCTTTGCTGGTTGTAAACTGTTGTGCAAATTGATCAGTTGCTTTTCTTCAGAATTAATCATGAAATCCGCGACAGAAAGTGGTGACGGTGGAGCCGGGCAGGTAATCTTGGAAATCTCCAATTTATATGACTGTTTCTCTTAGAATCGCTTGGGTTCCTAGGGTTTAGCTTGTGGATGATATAATTCGTTCTTTTATATATATTTTTTTCTGTTCGAATATGCGTTACTTTCCGAAGCAGGCCAGCAAGTGTCCTGCTTAGACTGTAGACTTACATGAATTATTCTGTTTTCACCTTCATTCGCGCTGCATAAATTTAGGGTTTATAATCAATTTGTATGTTTCCTCTCTTATTGCTCAAGCAAACCACTTGCCCATTCTCCTTTTTGCCATTTTCGATGTGCTGCTATTTTTTGATAGATTTGATATTATCTCCACATTTATGAAATAGAATTGATAACGCCCAACCTAAGTCATTTTTTGATAGATTTGATATTTTTCTCACTTCTTAAAGTATGTAATAGTCATTATAATGACATAAGGTGCTATGAGATTAAGTATTACTTCTCCATTGTATTTCTATGTGTTATTCTATCCTATCATGAATCCTCTCACAGCCCAAACTAGTAGAGCATATATGTTTATGAGTGATGCCTATGATTATCTTATGTGTTCCTCATACAGTCAATGTAGTATTTATCCAATGTCGTCCTAAATAAAATTTTCAAATCATTTTCTAATATCGCTTGAGGAGCATAAGCACCAATCATATTTATAATATACTCATCAATAATTAACTTAATAGAAATCATTCTATTACTAACACCACATCTCATCAACTTTATGGTTCAACTCTTTGCGAACTTCCATTCCTACCCTATTTCTATTGTTAACTTTTCCAAAATATAATAAATTGCAACCTTATTCAATGTCTTTGAAATTTTCTCTTTTATTTTCTAGCAAGCATGCAATATTTATTCTTTATCTAATTGTTGTGCCCATTGCTTCTCATTTTCTCATTCAAAGTCCTCAAATTTCAAATAGCAAATCTAATCTTAGTTTGAGTCCTAGTCAACATTCAGTAACTCTTCATTACAATTGGGTTAAGGTGTGGAGTGTCACGTATGGTTGATATCTTAGCTAACTGTTGTTAAGTTTTCATCCCAACGAAAGTTATGTGTATCTTTTATGGATAATGTCTTAGCAAGATCTTGCCTAATTTTTTCCACAATTGAGTTTTATCGTGGTGCCTTGCTTTTGGGTAGTGTCATAACACTAACAAAACTCAAATATGGATTCATTTTATAAAAGTTTCTTATGAGTTCTATGAATGATTGCTAATCTAACATCGATCATAAACCTTTCTCAACCAGGCTTGTACATTCTATTAGAATTTCCTTTCCTTCAAAGCTATTCTTGTTTCTATTATGTAAAGTTAATTTAATTTATCATTCTGTGTTCTTGATGTTTCTCAGGTTTTGGTTGAAGAGAAAAGATTTGCAAGGATACTAACATTGAACAGGCCCCGGCAATTGAATGCTCTTTCATTTCAAATGGTATTCATCCTCCTTTAAGTTTGCTATGATGGACGTTCTTTAGCATGCTAATGATTAATAAGCTCAATTTTGCCATCGCAATACTGAATAAAAATTTTGGGAAATGGAATATGCTGTCTTTGCTTGCTTTTTCTTTTGTTATTCATTTATATATCTCAACCTTTTTGTGTTAAATATAAAGGGAACAATTTAATATTCTCTTAATGGAGGGATAGTGTGCTTTATGTTGTAGGATGGTGTCAAAATCTAATGTGAGAAGTTCATTAATATGCACTATGAAAGAAACTGAAGCAAATAAGTATGATAGGAATATGATCTCCTCACAGCAAAAACAACAATAAACGAGGGAAAATACAGCAGGAATCAATGAGAAATATTTTTATTTCGGCAAAACAAATCAATATACAAATTGATATGATATTCAAGAGGTAGATTGGCTCTCCATAAATCCTAGGCGCCGCTAGGAACAACTCCAAAAAAAAACTACAACAAAATACAATTCACATAATGAAAATAAAATAACTCAATTGACCCTGATATATACCTTCCTATTTCTCTACAAAATCAAAATTCAAATCAACTATCTTTCCTTAAATAAACTTTTCACAATTCACTCTCAAATCTGAATTCAAATTAGCCTTCTTTTCCTAAATAAACATTTTCTAATTCCCTCTCAATTTTAGTTTTCTATGGTAGGTAATTAAAGGTGGAATTATTCTCCTTTGAGCCGCCCTCTCTTTTTGCCCACTGCCCACCCTAGTGGGGCCCATCGACTCAATCGCCGGTCCATCAAACTAATACGTGAACTAAATAATTTTAACGAACAAACCTGGAAGCAAACTAGAAGCAATAAATCCTCTCAACAAATGCCCTTTTATCTCCCCTAAGATCCTATCTTTGTCCTCCAAGTATTGTTCTACCGAAGCTACCGGTGTGCTACGTTGCCCATAATGTATCAAGTGAGGCAGATCTCATTTGTATAACACTTTGAATGGTATAGTCTATATTGTCAAATGATAGGAAGTGTTATACCAATAATCTGCCCAAGCCAACCATTTTACCCACAATTTGGGTGTATATGACATAAAGCACTGCAGATAGGTCTCCACACACCGCTTGACTACCACTGTCTATTCATCCGTCTGAGGATGATAAGCAGTGCTCCTTTTTAGAATGATCCCCTGCATTTTGAACAATTTCTTCTAGAACAGGCTCAAGAAGATCTTGTCCCTATCTGATATAATCTATTCTAGGATCCCATGTAGTATCACCACTTCCCTCATAAAAATCATTTCTAATGATATTGTTGTATAGAGGTGGCGAAGGGGAATAAAGTGGGCATAATTACTCAACTGATCCACTACCACTAGTATCATCATGTATCTTTCTGACTTTGGCAGCCCTTTAATGAAGTTCATGGTCACCTCCTCCCATAACTTTTTTGGCAGAGCTAATGTGATGTGAAACAATGATGATGAACAAGAATTGCTTTTAAGAAATTAGTAAAATGTGAACTTTGCTTGGCTAAATATAAACGGATGATTCTTCAAGTTAGATCTTAGAAAATTCCATGAAAAGACTAAGTGCTGGTAAGCGATTACAATTGAGATTACTAGGATACTTGCAAAATAACAACAACAAATAAATGAGTAAAGCAAATGCCAAGTTAACAAAATTCACAGTTTAATAATTAGATCGTTCACCTTGGGATCCCTCACTCACACTCTTGGTAGTGATTGGCTTAGCGGAAGAATGTTACAAGCAAACTTAGAGACGCCACTACAAGGCATGCGATGCCAAGGGTGCTAGTCGCCGGGGAAGGAGTCGGAGTTGGAGGAACGGGTGGGCGTCCGGTGATCTTCTACTCTCCCCGTAGGTCGTTGTTCGTCAATGACGTCCGCTAAGTGAGGGAGGATACGATCAACGTATTCCTTGACGGTGCTTTCGGATCCAAATCCGGGGTCAAAGAATGGTGATTTGATGACGTCAATCTCCCCTTGAGAATTGAGAATAAGCCCATGATCAACTTCCGGATCTCCCATGCAAGAACATTGGCGTATCGTGGTGGTGTTGTGGTGGGGGAGCCGCCGCTTGAGAGGGGCGACCAAGAGGAAGAGGAGAGGGGCGGTTGGGGTCTCGGGTAGGAGGAGGTGAAGAGATGGGGCGGCTAGATCTAGGTTAGGATTATGAAGAATTATTAGAAACCTGAAATTAATTTCATATTAAGTGAAATTGGAGGGAAAGAATTTGAATTTGATTTCAAATTCAAATGGAAAGAATTGAAGTGGAAGAGAGGAATTGTGGGAGAGGGGGTGGCGGCATTAGGAGATGATTAGGGGAGTTTAATTGGGAGCAATTATTTAAATTGGAGAGAGAGGGGCTTTGATGGGGCCGGCCAAGTAGAGATAGGAAAGAGAGGGTATTGTTTTAAGTAGGTGGGCCCCCAAGGATTAAATAAAGAATAAAATCAAAATCTGAATTTTAAATCAGGTTTGATTTAAATAGAGTGGTTTTCTAACTTAGATTTAGACAATAGGAAAGTATTTGAATTCAATTATTTAATTGAATTCCCAATAGGAACCTTTCCTAATTGACTAAGACTTGTTTTAGGAAAGGGAATAATGGAATATTTGAAATTTGAATTTCAGATTTGATGGCTGGGGAGGTGGGCCGGCGGGTTGAGCAAGGGAGAAGAGGTGGCAGATGGGTGGGTGGCCGGCGGTTGGGAGGGCCAAGGGGCCGACGGCTTGGGGATTAGGGGAGGTGGAAGGCTTGGTTTAGGAGGAGAAGGATGATGGGGATGATGAGGCCGGCCGATTGAGCAAGGGAAGGAGAATGGTGGATGTGGTGGAAAGGAAGAAACGATGAACCGCGAACCTTGGAATCCACCAAGATTGACGGATATTGCTCTCACCCACTTAGGGTTGCTCCTCTCAAGAACTCACAAAGAGATCATGCAAGAAAGTGAAAATTTCATTCATAAGCATCATTAACCATTACAAAGCTAATAGACCTTAATATATAGGCCTCAATAAAAGAAAAGCAGAAAGACACAAGTGCCCTCGGGGCTACAATAGCGACTCACTACCCATAGGGATAAACTAGGAAAATAGAAAATGCAAAAATAAATAAATTACAAAATATATCAAAAGTAAAGACTCTGGATCGTAGCCGTCGATCTACGACTCCGACGACGGTACACATGTCGAAATCTCTGATTGATTTCCTCATCATAATGGCTGGAGGAGCCATCTTGGAGATAACTAAATACTTATGCTTTTGATATATATCACAGGTCATCATAATGGTTGAGGAGCCCTCTCTGATAACCTCCCTTTTCGTCCTGACAAAAGCTCAAATCTTTCCCGATACTCCATCACAGTGCCGACCTGTGTCAATGCAAAGAATTGCTCATAGTAATATCCATCCTGCTAGGCTTAAAAGTGCTCCAACAAGCGTTTTTTAAACTCCTCCCATAAATTGATTGGGTATCTTGTCTCTCTCCATTGGTACCATGCAAGTACTTTTCTTTCAAGACATAGAGCGACGGCCATCAGTCTCTCATTTTATGTCAACCCGCTCACTGCAAAGTATCTCTCAACCCTATATATCCACCCATGTGCATCTTCCCCTTCAAATACAAACAATTTTAGCTCCCTATTCTTCTAATCTCGCCACCCACCCACTCTCGCGCACGCGCACTCGCATGCTTCAATGTCCCCTTTCTCCCTTACCTCCCATGATGCGAGCATTGGGATCTCTCCACAGTTCCCTCTCCTCCCTTCGCCGTTCATATTCCCTTTTTCCTCCAAATTCAGCTCGCCAGTTCTTTTCTTCCCATTCCCTCCTACTTTTATATTCCCTACCCATCACCCTTCCCGGTAGAGGCTCCGGGTGGGGTATTTTCTCCTCCCCTCCTAAAATTTTCACCTATCCATCTTCTCTTGATATCTCATCTTCTTAATTTCTCCTTGCTTCCGGCAGAGCCGTTTTAGTATGAAGCTCCAACATCCGCTTCATCATCTCCTCCATATTTCCAAACCTTCCTTCTATCTCTGAAATACGTTCATTCATTGATCCCACTTTCGCTCGTAGTTGCCCGACTTCCCCCTCCAACTTTTCTTCCAATGCCTTAACTCTTCTTCCGGTCATCAATCCCAATAAATTGCTCTGATACCAATTTGATATATCTATGTATCAAAGCAGCCAACAAAGTAAGAGATAATTTAACAAACCGTAGATTTTTATTAATAAGAAATGCAAATCCAACAAGCAATATACCCTCTTTTGAGAGGATGACCTTCTCTCTCAAACCTTAGATGCTACTAGGATCTCTCACAAAAATAGTTGATATCACTAACTCACAAAATTCTGCATGAAAAAAAAACCCAACAAACCCTAAAATATCCCTAAATAAGCTCTCCCAATTCCCTCCTAAACAACCTTATTTCCTTACAATCTCCCTCTATTATTTGAATTCAAACTCTATATTAATTCCTTTCTTAATCCTTCTCCTAACATAAGGAGTTACTGGTTTGTTGGGCCCCACAAAAGAGGCCGAATTTCCCTCCCTAGCTCCAGGTATGTGTGCATTTCCCACTCCCGCTTCCGCTATCTGAGTCGGGTCGGCCCTATTTTGGGCTGGCTATATTGAATGGACCGGTCCATCAGACTTGAATGATCAAAATGATTCTTTAATATTGTTGGAGATTATTTTTGTCCTTCATAAATTGTTAAAGAATCATTTTGATCATTTTCTCTAAAAATAATATGAAAAATAAACATTTAAGTGTAATAATTTTAAATCATAATTTAACATTATAAAAAGCTTGTAAGCATTAAATAATAATCAAGAAGTCTAAGATAAAATAGTAAACATAAACAAAAATCGAGAAATAAATGATAATATATCCTAAAATGAGCTATTTAGGATACCAAATTCAGATGTCTCTCCAACTCTCATATTTTGGAGGATCTTTATTAAAATCATAGTTTCAATTGATTGCTTTCTTGCCTTCTCATCTTCAATTTTGTTGACATCCTAACAGGTGTTTTCATCATTTAAATGTCAATCACTTTATTCTTCCCTAATAAATAAAAATGCATCTTTAAAAATACCTCAAGGTGTGCCTTGAGGCATGCCTCACTAATTTTCAGTGTATATCTCTTTTTTCCCATGTGAGACTATAATCTCAAGGTGCTTTGCAAGCACATCTTTGAGTCGCACCTCGAGAAGCATAGCTTATTGCCCAATTTTAAATATAGCCTACATGAAATCCATAAAATTAAGGAAAGATCTTGAGACGTCATCCAATATCTAACAACCTATCTTTGGGGTGTAAACGAGTTTAGCCGAGCTCGAGTCAACCCTGACTTGAGTTTGAGCTTGATTAATTGAGTTTGAGTTTGAGCTTGAGCTAGAGCTTTATTCTACGAGTTCGTGCTAGCTCACGAGCCGACTTGTTTATTATTAAAGAACGATAAATTATCAAAAAACGATAAAAAGAAAATGATAAATTATAAGAAAAATAATAATAAATCACTTAATATTAAGAAAGTGAGATATAATTTTTAAATATTTTAAAAACTTGTACTTAATATCTTGAATCCTAATCTATTTTAATAATACTTTATATTTATATTTTTAAACGAGCCGACTCGCAAGCTAACGAGTTGAGTCAGGATTGTCTCAAGCTTTTCTCATTAGCTCATCGAGCTCAGCTCATGAGCCATATATCGAGCCGAGCCCTAGCCCAAGCTAGCTCACGAGTCGGCTTGACTCACTTACCCATCCCATATCTAATGCCAATCTCTGAGGGTCTTCCAGGTGACAACCCATGAATTGGCTTGCTAAACTCTTGTTTAGTTGATTACGTGCAGGACAATATCAAATTCAATATGATCGACTTGCCTAACTTCTATCAATATTCGAAGTCCATTTTCATTACACAACTATACTTGCAATAATTTATAGTTTAGTTGGATTATAAAGTGGTTCTTTCTATAGTGTTTTTAGTTTTTCATATATGTTTTTTTTTTATGTGATGACATCTCTGACATGCTTTGTTCAAAAATTTTGGGCACTTTGCAGCCATTTTAAGAATCATTATTGAAAATTTTCTGTATTAATTAGAACTTTCATGTATTTATATCATAACAAAACTTTCCTCAGATTCCTTCGTAGGAATGGTATCATTTTTCAATTTCTGTATATAGAATGAACTTTTTCAACATATTATTAAAAATGGCAAGTGCATCTCTTCCATTTGTAGTTTTCTAGCATTGATTTTTTTTTTAAAACGTTATTATGGGTGGGATTTGAACTACTCACCTGACTTCTTCCAAAATTTGTTGACTTGACACTCCATTTCACCTCGTGATGTGATTAAAGAGTTATGAAAGTCTTGCTATACATACTATTTTTGGAGGCATCCCTTTAAATCAAATAGATAACAAATGGACAAAAACATCTGAGGTTGCCTACCATATTTAGTGTTCAATTTTGATTAATTAGGGATAAATTATTTACATTTTTTTTTTTGTTGGATTCAGCGCTTCTCCAATAATGTTCAAGTAATGAATAAGATTACATGTCTTTATTCATTTCGTTGCCATGTCTTTCCAGATTACAGAACTGCTGAAGCATTTCACAGCTAATGAGGAGGATCCAAAAGTAAAGTTGTTGATTTTGAAGGTAGCATCTTACTGAATTGCGTAATTTTGGTAATTACAAGAGTGACAGATTTGGATGCGATTAATCATAGTTGAATATAGAAGTAAATATTCTCAATTTGCATTGTTTTATGTACGCATTATTATACAAACTTCTTATGTTGATCGTGTGGATTTATACAGAAACTGCAATAAATAACATGTGATTGAAGCGCTAGTGATTTCAAAACTAATCCCCATATAAACTAATATTTGTTTTTGAAAGAGTTTTTTTGTTTTTTTTTTTTGGGGGGGGGGGATGTGTACTGGAATCCGCTAGTGATTGAAGCGCTATTAATAAATAACATGTGATAAAATATTTCTTTTATTATTAATATTGTTTGTTTTTCTCTTGTTATTGTTAAGTTTCTTTTTTTGAGTTTATGCATATGATATTGCACTTCATTGAGCGACGCCTTCACCATATAAAGCAGACTATCATTAATAAATTATAAAATCTAATATTGTGTCCACCGCAAATCGTGTCCTACTTTGTGGGTTATTTCATGTTGATGTGGCTATGTATTGTCGTGTTGTATTATCGTGTTCGTGGTTGTGCTTCATAAGAGGGGTATTTATAGCATTACAAGACTTATAAGAACCTATAGCATACTAATTAGCTATCTAATATTTAAATATTAACCTATAACCTACTTAATACATTTATTACCTAACATGGAGGTGGGGTGACTACTTGCCCCTGTTCTATTGAAAAACTTAATATTCTTACTTCGCTAATAATTTGCAAATCAGAAAGAGTACACGCAGCTAAGTTTATAAATGGTAGGAATGATAAATCGATATTTTCACCTGATCGTTGTCATAAGAAGTTATAAATCATATATTTTTGCGCTTGTCATAATCTCCTTTTTTTGTCTTTAATTTCAGTTCAGTATTGTAGAATGTTACACGGAAAATTCTGTACAACTGATTGGTTTAAATTCTTGAAGGTTGTAAATAAACTATAGGTAATGAATCTAGAAATTAAGTGTGAATTTATATTAATTCTTTGAAAATAGTCGTCTTTCAAATAAGTTTGGGGAACATTCCATTACTTTTTGCCCATCCGTCCTTACTTTTTGACTAGCTGCTATTGAACTATATTCGCATAGTTCACATAGTTGTACTGGCCAATTTTCACCATTCGCTCAGTAAAGGGGAAGATCTTTTTTGTTCGTGTTTTGATATACTATAATTTTTTGCGATGATTTCAGGGAAAAGGCAGAGCATTTTGTGCGGGTGGAGATGTTGCAGAAGTTGCGCATTCTATTAATGAAGGTACTATCTTGTTATTACCAGTATAACTATGGTTAAAAAAAATTTTTAAAAAAAAACCAGTATAACTATGGTTTTTTAATAGCCCATGTTGTTTTCCCCAAATTATTTTTGTCGAATATCTAAACTATGAAGAAAAGACCCTTTTGCAACCAAGTCTTGTTAGTTCATATGCCTTAAAATGGATTTTGAAGCCAGCTTGGTTGCTAGAACCACAATAAAATACAAAGATTGAAATATTAGTGATGTAGAACGGATGGGGTGAGGGGGAAATTTGAAAATTGAAATTAAAATTAAATGAGGAAAAGGGGGTGGTTAATTAAATCTCATAATTGGATATCCAATTAAGGAATTAAATAACTAAGGGGGGGAGGGGCTGGCGACATTAAGAGGGGCTTGGGAGTTTATGGAGATAGATTTAAATGCTTGCCAAGTGGGGAACCTTAAATTGGGGAGGAATATTTAAATCAAATCCTATTTGAATTTGAAATATGTTTGATTTGAATACTTTCCTAAAATAAGATAACTAAATTAGGGAAATGATTTGAAATTTAAATACACTTGAACTTAATTTCAAATGCTTTCCATATTAAAACACATCCAAAATAGGAAAAAATGCTATCAAGCAAGATTGACTCCAATCAAGAGCAAAAGGGGAAGGAGCGGCAGGTAGAGAGAGAAGGGGCCGGTTATGGAAGGAAAGAAAAAGGAAATTAATCAAGTCTTCAATTAAGGGAGAAAGGATTTAATCAAATATAATTCCAAATTGATTGGAATTTGATTTGAAGAACTTTCCATATATATATATATAGTAATTTAGGAAAGGTTTTGAATTTCAAACTAATTGGATTTGAATTCAAAATTCTTTTCAAATTATCTTCAACCTAATTTAGGAAAACGAGGGAGAATGAAGGAGGGAAGAGGCTAGGGGTGAGGTGGTTGTTCGGCTATGGAGGTGGAGGGGTTAATGGCTGGCGGTTGATATGGATAAAGTGGAGGAGGCTTGTGGCTTTGGAGGAGTTTGTGGGAGAATCGGCCGGTGGAAAGTGGGTAATTTTGGCCAACAGTCAAGGGAGGAGTAGAAAAAGATTTAGGGAAAGAAAGATACAACCGTGAGCCCGGACACATCCTGCAGCTGACGGGTAATACGTTGCCCTTCTGCAAGGGACTTCAAACCACGAGCCCGGACCCATCCTGCGGCTGGTGGAAGCTTCGATTCCCTCCCATAGAAATCTCACCCAAGTTCTCTCCAAAGAACACAAGTGCAAACCTTTTTTTTCACTTAATAATCCATCATGCTACTACAAGAGCAAGGGTCTCTATATATATAGGCCTCAAAACAAAAGAAATTAAAAAAGACAACTTTGCCCCTTGGGATTACATAAGACAAGACTCTTAAATAAGGGTAAAAACGAGAAATGCAAAATTAAATCAAAATACAACTAATAAACTAAGATAAAAAAAGGAGTGATCTCGGCCGTTCATCATCGTCTCTTCCATTGAGTTACGTCCACCGTCGGATGTCCGCATCAATTAGTTTGAAACTCTTTAACTTCTTATTATTGCTTTTTCTTTTCTTCTCCCCAGTTATTCCTTACATATTGCCATCTTTGTGAAAAAGGTCACTGGACTAATGGTGCAAATTTTTTCTGGAATGAGTTTAGATTGAATTACCTAATTGCAACTTACAGCAAACCTCAGGTGAATTACAGCGCATGCAGAAGTCATTATCTCTTCTTGTTATTTCTTGGTGTCCTCCCTACAGCATTTGATTTATTTTTACTTTTACATAAATAATGGATCAAGGTTTCTCTTCTCAACGGGATTGTGATGGGAGGCGGGGCTGGTGTTTCCATACATGGTAGATTTCGGATCGCTACTGACAAAACAGTATGATCTCTTTAATTGCTTGGAATGGAATGACTAGTTTCTATACCTCAAGCTCTATTGTACCATTTAATATATCATTATTCTATTTTCTTTATGATCTTTTCAATGAAGTTGCTTGATTATAGTTGCAAGACCGAAATAGTTGCAAGCTGACAGAGATCTTTAGAGCAGTGCCCAACAATCACTTGCTCTTGCATATGTCGGCGGAAAAATGCGGGCTTGAGAGCAATAAAGAACAAAATCGAGGGAATTACAATCTATAAAGAAACACACTAGAAAACAAGGATAATTTATTTAAAGTTGTTCAGTAAAGCTTGCAGCCTCCCCTAAATCTATGGCCGTAGAAATTGAGATACTTATTCCACTAGATTATATATAAAAAGATGGTACAAAATTTGCTCACTAAAATATATACTCTTCTTTTATCTCACATGATCTTTTCTTCTTTCTTTTATGTCCCTTCTCTCTTAGCTCTTCACAATTTTGCTTATTCTCAATGCAAACTTCAAATAAAGCCAAGTATCCCAAAAATCAAAATTAGGTGTGCGTGTGTGTCCAGCTAGTAAATAACTTAAAACTAAAAGTCTAGTGTCAAGTTAGCAAACAATTACAAGCTAAAGCATCTACTGGTACAGTCCAATCCCTGTTGATGTGAGCAAAATGCTGATTTTTAATTCCCAAAAAAGCTGCTCCTTTGATTTGCTAGCTTTCTTTGGATATTTGGGCATTTAATGGTGGGTTGAATTTCTCTTATTGGGCTTGGCCCATTTTTCCTTTCTTTGGCTGCTTGGTGTCTTGGTTATCTCTGCAGAAGTGGGGTTCTGCTGGTTGCTTCGGTTTCCTGCTTGGGGGCTGGCTGTTGGTTTTCTAGCTGTTTGGTTCTTGGGCTGGCCGTGCCTCTCTCTTGGGTATTTTTCCATGATTTAAAGCCTTTGTACCATTCTGTCATGGACTGACTTTTTTTTTTAGTTGTTCGGATCCTGGGCTGGCTGTTTGGTTCATGGGCTGGTCGTGCCTCTCTCTTGGGTAATTCCCATGCTTTGGCTGCTCCCATTGGAGGCTTGGGGCGGCACCTTTTTTTTTTGGTGGAGCCATGCGCACGGCGCGACACGCATCTTTTGAAACATGTCGCACAATAGAAATTAATTAAAATATATATATTCATTAATATTAAATACCATTAAATAAAAAATAATGAGTTGATTATAGTAAAATTTAGGCATAAATATTATGTCAAATAACAAAAATGATGATTTTAAATCTTACATAAACTTACACCTATAGATTTGTGCAGGATTTAAGCATAAATTATCCTTTATCTTGCATAATAACAAAAATGGTATCTTTAAATCCTACAAAAAATTAAATCCTTTAAAGTTTTTTGATATTTTATTAATTTAAAGGTTAATTAATTAATACTTGATTATGATGTTAATATATAAACCTAAACAAATTAATTATAATTTATAATTTAAAATCTATAACATGTTAACAAAATAACACGTGCCATGAGTGCCTTGTGCCATGCACCATTGCCCATGCATGACTCAAATAGCGCATAATATTTTGATGCGCCGTAATTAATTAAAATTAACTAGCAATTTAATTAATTGATTGATTAAAAATATGAGAGCAATTTTAAAAATTTGAAATCAATTTAAAATTTGGGAGCCTGTTAATTAACTAAATGAGAGCAATCAAATTTATTATTAGTTAATTAATGAATGCAATTAACTAGAAAATTTATTTTTGGTTAATTAATTAATTAAGCAATTATAAAAAAAATATATAAAAATAATGTTTGCACTAAGAATGTGCAACTCTCTAAAACACTGACACTTGTACAAAACTCTCCAAGTCACAAACACTCAACAAACTCTCTAATGCTCTTTGGCTAGCTGTGAAGTAGCACAAACTCCAAGTACCTACAGTAGAGAAACAAAATGATTTATACCAAAACAAATGTTAAATCAAGAAAAAGAACAAGTGTTACACTAAGCTATAGTAAAAAAGAAATAGAACAGGCTACTAAAAGTAGAACAGACTGCTGGTACAGTAAATTAACTACTGATACAGTAAAGTAATTGCTAGTACTGTGAAGTAACTACTGGTACAATCTATGGTACTGATAGAAAAAGAGCAAGGTATTGTAGCAAAAACATTAGTATCACACAGCAAAAATTGTTGGCTAATAAGTGTCGAGCTAGTAAATAACTAGAAACTAAAAGTCTAGTGTCAAGCTAACAAACAATTACAAGCTAAAGCGCCTACTGGTACAATCCAATCTATTCTAAATTAAATCTTCAGGCAACTTCTAAGGGAGTCATAAGACTCATATTTGTCAGTGGCGAATGGCACACCATAGCGTAAAGATCCCTGTGGAGCCATGGTATATAGTGCACGGCATGACGCACACCTTTTGAAACATTCCACACAATAGAAAATAATTAAAATATATATTCATTAATATTAAATACCATTAAATAACAAATAATGGGTTGATTATAGTAAAATTTAGGCATAAATGTCAAATAGCAAAAATGATGATTTTAAATCTTACATAAACTTCCATCAATAGATTTGAGTAGGACTTAAGCATAATTTATCCTAAATCCTTCCTAATAACAAAAAATGATATCTTTAAATCCTACAAAAAAATTAAATCCTTCAAAGTTTTTTGATATTTTATTAATTTAAAGGTTAATTAATGAATACATGATTATAATGTTAATATATAAACCTAAAAATATTAATTATAATTTAAAATTTAAAATTTATAACATGTTAACAAAATAGCACGCGCCATGAGCGCCTTGCGTCATGCGCCATTGCCCATGTATGATGCAAATAGCACACACTATTTTGATGTGCCGCACTTCGCAAAGTAAATAGCATCATATGTGCGACACACCACATCGTGCACCATGGCGCAGACTATTTTGCACCATTGACATGTATGGTAAGACCTATCAAACAAAACAAAATGGGCAGCTTAACCTATAGGACTAAGTTGTAGACCTGCTAACGGGAAACTTCTGAGTAAAGTCGTAAGACCCACACTTAAGAGAAATTGCTAAATAAATTGAAAGACTCTAAAGCCCAAATAAACAAAACAAAATGGGCAGCCTTGTTGTAGAGCTAGGTTGTAAGACCCATCTATATGCAACTTCTAATAAGAGTCGTAAGACTTATCCAAACAAACAAAACTACTGGGTAGCCTTGTTTATAGAGCTTGGTTGTAAGACCCACCAGGGGGTTATTTCTAAAGGGAAGCAATAAGACATGTCCTACTCAAATAACTAGGCAACTTCTAATGAGAGTTGTAAGACCTATTAATTAGGAAATTTTTGTAAATGAAATATCACACCATAATCCAAATTTAAACAAAATGGACAACTTAACTTATAGGGCTAGGTTGTAAGACCCGCTAACGAAAAACTTATAACTGAAGTCATAAGACCCACATGTTAGAAAAATTACTAAATAAATTGCAAGACCTTAAAACCCAAACAAACAAAACTACGGGCATCTTAGCTTATAAGGGCTAGGTTATAAGACCCATCATTGGTCTGCTTCTAATCAAAACCGTAAGACCTGCCTTACGAGCTATTTTCAATGAAAGATATAAGTCTCGTAATTCACCATTTTGCATGGACACGTTCTTTATGACTTTATGAGCATGTGAATTGGGTTTTGGAGTAGTTTATATTTCTATGTGAGAGTATTATGGGATCAAACAATACAATAAGTACAAAATCAATACAGTTGTACTGAGTACATCCTTTATAGCACTTCTTCAAAGAGTCACTAATTATGTATGAAAGTCAAATCACAAATATTCAGATCTTTAAATGACAATTTTTTAACGCATGTTTATTTCACATTTATGTATTTAACTGCCCTTGCATTCTTCTGCTTTGATTGCGTTGGGACATCTATTTGCGTGTAGCATTGTAACTCTTGTATGCACTAATCTCTATGTTCATATTGGTATCATGTGTTTATCCGAGCTTAATACTGAATATGAAGTCCATTTCTTAACCAATGAGGAGCTTAGATGTAAGAATGCGAAATATTTTAAAATTTTGACAGTGAAAACATGTTGCAGGTTTTTGCAATGCCAGAAACAGCTTTGGGATTGTTCCCAGACATAGGTTCTTCATATTTTTTATCAAGGCTTCCTGGATTTTTTGGTGAAGATCTTACCTGTGGCTTAGTGAACTTTATCCTTTCCTTCCTGCGTATCCTAAATTTTGAGAAATGTAGCTCTTAACTAAGTTTTGTTTTCTGCTCTATGCTTGATAAGTATTTATTGCCCATTATTGAGGATTTTTGTTTTTTTTCGCATATTGTGATATGTACTTGCCAGAGAAGGCTTGGCTTTTCTTGTCTAAACATGCATGTTAATTAACTTATCTTCCTTTTTTTTTTTGGAAGATTTTCAGACTTTACAGAGTATGGCGGTCAAAAAACTCTTTCTGCAGCTTAGGCTCTGTATATGAAATGGTGTCATGTGTTGTTTTATAGTGTTATGCTGATAAGTAAAGCAAAGGACTCTTTGGTAAAATTGGTGTTAAGACTATTGTTTAGAATGTCATAATTGCTAGAATTCTTTAATAAATATTGTTGTGATACTGATATTCATTTCATTACTAAAAGTTTATTTCTTATATATGTAATCCATATAAATGTAATTTTATATCCTAATTGTTTTTTAGTATATAAATCAATGAAGTAGTTTATTTTTTAATTAATCAATACATGACTAATCAGTATATTTTTATCTAATATTATCCTTGTTAGTCGCATTAGTTCACTGACATAATTATTTGTAATATGTTTTATAATTAATAAATTAATTAATTAGGATCATTTATTATTCTTATGAAATGCATTAAAAAGACTTTTAAATTATTTTATTATTATAACTAATCCTAAATTAAATAATAAATAAGGGAATTTGAGTGTCCTATTTTTTTTTTCTTAAAATAGTCATACTAATAGTTTAAATTATTTTTTTATTTGTTTAAAAATTATTTAGACCATCTAATCTTTAGTTATTTATGCTAATTTAATATCCTATTTATTAAATAGTAACTGCTTATTTTAGATTATTTAATTTTTATGAACTAATGTATAACTAACTAGATTATTTTATTTGTCTTAATACTTGATAATTAATTAGGCTATCTTAATATCTAATGTGGGCTCCGAAAATTCGGCCCCGGCCTCCGCTCGCTTTTCTTATTCGGCAAGGGAGTTTTAACGAACTAAGTTCCGAGGTAAATTTTGGAAGGCAGATGGGTTTGTAGATAAGACACTACCCAGAGATTTCGCCCTCATTTTGTGAGGACTTTATGATCTGAGTTCTGGTTTCCTATAGGCGCAAGCCCCTATAGTTAATTACCCCTCCCGATTATATATATATATATAGATGAGGATATAACTTTTAGCCCTAGGGTTAGGACTGGATGTTTAAAATAGAGAAGAGACTCAGGAATATGTGATATATAATTTTAGTAGGTATGATGTTAAAAACTATTATTTATATTGTTTGTAGAAAAGATGGGACCTAGGTGTGATAGATTTAGACACCTTGAATCTATTATATAGAAGAATGGAGATATAGATGAGAATATAATTTCTAGATTCAAGGTTTGATATTTAAAATGGAGAAGTGCCTCAGAAATTTTGTTTGATGAGAGGATATCATAGACGTTTAAAGATAATTTTATAAAATTGCAATTGGGCTGGTGATATTGTATGAATTCAAATGTTGGGTTGTAAAAAAGTTAATGATTTCTATTTTGAATAACAACAATAAGAGTGTTAGGATGATGTGCGACAATGCTTGGAAGGGGTGTAGAGACATCTATTGATATAAGATGTTTGAAAATAAATTTAGTTGTTGTACAAATACAATGAATGGTAGAAATTTTTTTTTATGAGGTGTCTATAAAATCAGTATGAGAGAGTTTGGAAGGAAAAGAGGTAGATCTATGCATACATGTCAACGGCACAAATAGCATCCGCTATTTGCTTAGCGCTATGCACATGTTCAAAATGATGCGTGCTATTTGCGCCATATAGGAGCAATAGAGCATGATGCAAAACCTAAATGGTGCGGGCAGTTTGTTTTAAATTTAAGATTAATCTTATATTTAAATTGATTAAATTTATTATTTATTTAATAACTTAATAGTGTTATCATTACATGTAAATGTGCCTTAATTTAAAAAAAGAGAGCATATCTTTTATGTTTCATCAAATTAGTTGATGTTATATGTATGTTATTTGTTATTCACCATTTCATTCATACATTTAAAAGGAGGGTAAAAATGTTTGAATATATGCTTGTTTATAGGTATTCAAATGAATATCGAATATAGTTCAAACCACCGAAAAAGATATTGCGTGAAAATATATAATATTGGCATATAAAGGTGGTAGTAATTGTATGACATGTATTTTTATGGCAAATAAAGAGGATTATGAATTGTGATATATGATGTTGATGAAGGAAATGAGGTATTTCTTAGACATTTGATGATGATGATGATGTGAGTCCTTAGAAAATAAGTTTAATTTCTGACAAAAGAGAGAAACTTGAAAAAATGGTTACAATATTTTAAATTTTGAGTAATTGAGGTGTTGATTACTTATACTCAAACATCACTTCAGATGTTTTTATTGTAATGATCTTTCTATTTAATAGTATTTTATATTAATATATATTTTTATTTACAATTATCCTATATTGTGTATCATGTTTAAAATAGCGCACGTTGTGTCATGCACCATGCATTATGGCTCCCCAAGAAACTGTGCTATAGTGTGTCATTTGTCGTTGACAATTATGGACGTAAGGTTATATTGATAAGTTGTTCAAAATAATTTGCAAATATATTTAACACCTCAAACAATGTGCAACAAGAACAAATGAAAAACAAACATTTATAACACTGACACCGAATACTTGGGATAAGGCTAATGATGATGAAGAATAATTAATTAAGAGATTAATTAATTTATTAATTATTATATTACTGAGTATAATATCTTATTACCATAATTATTAATTCATTACTCTAATTAATTCCTAATCATCCTAACTAGTTTGATGTATCAATCTATTATCAACTAGTTTAATTTCTCATTCCAATTATTGAGTAATTAACAACCTGTCATAATTATTCTAATTTATAAATTTAATTACTGTTTCATTATTCATTAATGGTATACTAGTTAAGCTAATTATTATTGAACTAATCATTTAAGTATTTTAATTTAATAATTATTTTCTTACTAAACTATTATGGGCAATATATCCCAAGCATTTTTGTCATAAGAAAATTTAAAAGCTGAAATCCTGAAAATTAATTTTTCTAGAATGTTAGCCCAACCCATCATTTAAGAGGTCTATTTTTTAGCTTGCATAAAGCAAAAATTTTCTCACTGCAGCTGATATACTTCTTCCAATTACTGGAAAATTTATTCTATTGTGTTAAATAGCAGAATTAGGCAACATAAAGCATTTCCAAATGGAGCCTTGTTATTTCTTCAATTTCACATTTTAACTGCTTTATAATCAATTTGCTTGCTTAAAGCTTTGAGGTTTTTTTTTTTTTTTGGGTTGTTTGGATGTATTAACTTTTTTTAGCTATGAAAGTAATCATGGACATTTCTTTTGAACTGCCCCAGGTTATTTGTTTCGGCATGCCTCCTGGCTGCATTCCTTAAATATGCAAATTTGCTCTCTTTCCATTGAAAAGTTTGTGATGTCGGTCTCTTATCCATTATAACTATAGAAATTTCTCATGCTTCCAGGGGAATATGTTGGTCTAACAGGGGCGAGGTTGAATGGAGCTGAAATGCTTGCCTGTGGCCTTGCAACACATTTTGTGCCTTCTGGGGTAAGTTTGCCTGTTAAGAAATAAGACAGTTGGAGAATTGGCCAATATATGTATTGAATTTATTCGACATTAGGAAATCTTCAATGTACAAAATCAGCGAATAAAATTCTGGAATACAAATAACCATAGGCTAATTACAATGGAAAAGACTCGATGCTGAAATGATATGAGCTGTTCAGAATTCCATATATGGATGGACTGTCACGACCCGGCCCGATTAGCTCGTATAGACGAGACGGGAACGGAATCGGACGTTCAGAACCGTTCAATCATCATATTGCATGTATAAAAATTCTAAAAGACTTCAATAGGAATCAAAAGCGCCTCTAGTCTTTCCAAAACATATATTTAACATTCCAAGTCATTCCAAAAGAGAGTTCATATACACGAGGTGGTTTCAAAACTAAACTATTCATGACATGCCAAAACCACCCAAAAGAAAATCAACTATAACTAGGAAAATATTAAAAGAACCTGTCAACTGGTACACGACGGCTGTAAGTGAACCTTAGGTTGTCAGCCATCTCTTGTAACAGGTTCTCCTGAAAAGTATCCCAACACGAGGGAGTGAGCTAACGCTCAATAGGAATTCTCTAATCCTAACATGCTCACATGTCATAAAATGAAAATTTACATTTTAAGCTAAAAGGGACATGCCTTGATTTCTTTTTCTACACATGCTAACTTTCATATCTTAAGGATGTTAAATATTTTATGTATGTCATATGCATATATCTTATATATGTCATGTAATGAATATCATATTATATGCTTATTTATACTTTATCGTATACAACCATACCGGAGTACTAGGGGTGTACTGATCAGGTACACAAACATCTTTTGGAGTGAATGCCGAGAGGCTGTCGAGATAGCCCCAAAAAAGCTACAAATTTGCCTTAAGAGCTTGCCAAACTTCTATGAATTGTTGGAGAATAATTCATTAATTTAAAAAATAATAATATAATTAATTGAATTAATTTTTAATTAAAAATTGCATTTAATGAAATTGATTAATTAATCTATTAAATAATTTTAAAATATTTAAATAAACAAATTAATTAAATTAAATAAATCCTTTGAGCAAATAGTTTAATTAATAATTGAATAATTTTAAAATATATTTTTTAATTAGAGAGCTGAGCAATTAAGGTTAACTTTAATTAAAATTAAATTTAATTAATTAACCTAATTAATTAGTGCAATCAAAATAAAACATAAGAAAATATAGGAAATAAATGTTTTCCATTAATGCAACTTAAGTACAAGCTACTAAACAATTCTCCAACTCTCCAAACAGCTCTTTGAGCAAAGCAAACCCTCCAAATTACACTCCCAGAGTCCCAATAATAGCCTCAACAGCATATGCCTATGTACACTCTAAACTCTCCAATATGCCGCCAGTACCACAAGCACCTTTAAACAAGTAAACAAAAGTTAGCACAAAATAAATAAAATTAATGCTGGAAAGAGTAAAAAAGCTACTACTGCAAGTAAAAAGCTACTACTGTAAACAAAACAAGGCGTTGATGGTAGTATTAAGTCAATGAAGTGTGTAAAGCTATGTCCCCGCTAAACTAAGCCTTATAGGTTACTTTTAATGAAAGTAGTGAATCCTATTAGCAACTACCTCATTAAGTATATCCATTAAGTAAAGTGATAAATACCTCAAATTTGGTTGACAAATTATAATAGAAGTTGTAAGTTCAATTTTAGGGGAAATCTCTAGGCAGCAACCTAATCTTAGACTCACCTCCCCAATGGGCATCTTAAACTATAAGGCTAAGTTGTAAGACCCGCTATATGGGCTACTTCCAAAGGGAGACAATAAGACCCGCATGTTAAGGAAACTTCTAAAGTAACTTAACCCTAAATATCGCTACACGGGCAACTTCTAAATGTAGCCGTAAGACCCACATGTTAGGGAAGCTTCTAAATGAAGAACCCTAAACCTTTTAGCCCACGTATTAGGCAACCTCTAATAGAGGTCGTAAAACCCGCTACACGGGCTACTTCCAAGCGAAGCCGTCAAGCCCACTACTCATGCTACTTCTAAATGAAGCCGTAAAACCTGCTATACAGACTACTTTCAATGAATTTCATAAGCCCCAATCTCAAATCCGAACTATATGCAACTCCTAAATGGGATCATAAGATCTAACCTAAATCTAGACTGTGTAACTCTTAAGTAGAGTCACAAGTCCCAATTCAGACCATAATAAAATTAGAACTCACACCTATCCACTTCAGTTTATTCGGGATCCCTGAGAAGAGACAACTCATAGTTGCTAATCAAATTTCTTAGATACTACAATCAATTGTTGTTAGAGTTGGTAGACTGAAACCTACGATATATCCGGGACGACGTAACCATGTGATCTTGATCAAGTTTACCTCCATCCCGCACAACCAAACTTAAAATTATTGCACGTCTAAATATTAATTCATCCTTAATCAAGAGTTCTCTTCTATATTTAGGAGGGGTAATTAACTATGAGGGCTTTCCCTCATAGGAAGTGGAACCTCGATACGATCATCGGGGAAAACCTGGTTAATTTAAAATTCAATCTACCTCAGAAAAAATGGAACCTAAAAGCTTGCGAAGCATGGTTCATGCGTTAGCAGAACATCATTTATTGAGGGTGAACAATATCCTCAATCAGTCACAATCTTCAAGGACCCATCAACAATAGTTATTTTCTTATTGACAATGAATGATAAATAAATTTGTGAGAGGAGTTAGGCATATGGCATGTAACTTCTGAATCAATGATCCATGAGTTAGAAATGGGCATCTCTAAGATTTGAAAAGTATGAGAATATGATGTAATACCTAAATTTTACTAGAGTACAGGTACCTATCATAGATGTTTTTTAAAGTAATTCCAGCAATTTTATCTTTTCTATTTCTTTTTAGCGGAACTCAATGGATTATTCTTTGACATAATTTTCTCCCATGTTTGTTATATATACATATTTATGCTCCTTTGCTTATCATTCTTCTGCTTTCAAATGTTTAGTTTTGTGGTTTTCCATAAATTTTCTATTGTATGTCAAGCCTATTTTAGAATATGTGCACCATGGAGTATCTCTATTGATTAATTTTGTTGGGGATGGTTGCTTGTGGTCCTCAGTAGTAAAGAGTTTTGAGTCAGAGTTCTTTATGCTGGCAGCCTTTGATACTACTGTTGAGCATTCCATGGGGTTGTTGGTTATCATGACTCCTCTTCTCCTGACATCGATTAGAAGAATGGAAATGATTTTGTTTAAAGATGGTAAATCATCATTTCTTAGAAGTTGTACCCTTAAAGCATCAAACTTAATATCTAATCCATCAAGAAAATCATATATTTGGTCCTTTTAAACAAACCATTTTAGAACTCCATCTTTGATGTATTTCATTTGAATCCGTTGATAATGATCCATCTTTTGACACGGGCTTTGCAATAGGTTGGAATATTAATGGATCATCCTCCTTTTCTTGGGGATGAGATCTTAGTCTTAACTTCATAGATTTGTGCAACATCTCATACTTTAGAATACATTTGATTCACTATATTTAATATTTCCTTAACTAAATGGAGCAACATGAATATATCACTTATCTTAGGAACCATTGAATGCCATAATTAAGACATCTCCATGGAGTCATGCTCATCCCAAATTTTAAACATGTTATCTCCTTGCTCAAGTCCAGCGTCAAATAAATGGCCCAATATTTTTCTTCCCTTTCAAAAAGTGCATGGCAATTATGAGATATTAGATAGTTCTTTCCTTTCAAATGGTATGTTAAATTAATGTTTTTTAAGAGAACCCAAGACCAAACGAATGTGGTTATTGTTATTATTATCCATGGAGAGGAAATTATAGTTTTGTTTAAAGAAAAACATGAATTAGAGAGGGATGTTCTCACTAGACATTTGCAAGATGATGTACCTTGGTGTATGCTTTTTGCTGATGATATTCTTATTGTTGATAAAACTAGGGAGGGAGTTGAAGGTAAACTTGAATTATGGAGGTCAACCTTAGAGTCTAATGGTTTTCGCTTGAGTAGATCTAAAACTGAATATATTAAGTGTAATTTTAGTAGTAATTGACCTAGTGAGGGGATTGTAACTTTGAGCGATCAAGTCATTAATAAAAGTACACGTTTTAGATATCTTGGATCTATTGTTCTGAGTGATGGTGAAATAGATGGGGATATTATCAGCAGAATTAAATTTGGATGGTTGAAGTGGAGGAATGCATCAGGCTTGTTGTGCGATAGAAAAGTCCCCCTCAAACTTAAGGGAAAATTCTATAAGATGGTGGTGAGACCTACAATGCTTTATGGTGCCAAATGTTGGCCATTAAAAGAGAAGCATAATACTAAGTTAAGTGTTGCAGAGATGAGGATGCTTAGGTGGATGAGTGACTTTACGCTTAGAGATAGGATAAGAAATGAGCATATACGTGAAAGGTTGGAATAGCTCCAATAGAAGATAAGATTAGAGAGAGTCGCCTTAGATGGTTTGGTCACATTAAACGTAAGCCTTCCGATGACCCGGTTAGGAAAGTTGAGGTATTAGATTTGACTTATGTTAAGAAAGGTAGAGGTAGACCTAAAAAGACTTGGTTAGAAAATATTAGAAATGATCTTTCTTTATTAGATCTAAATGAAAACTTGACTTTTAACATGACACAATGACGAAAAAGGATTCATGTAGCCGACCCCATGTAGTGGGACAAAGGCTTGATGTTGTTGTTGTTGTTTAAAGAAAAAACATGAGGAAAACAAACGAAAAGTAATGTGACAATGCACCATCGAAAACTGTAGTAATGGAAAATGGAAATGGTGGACAATAATTTGCAACAATGCAATGATGAAAGTTGCAACAATAGGAAAGAAAAAAAATTGCAAATCACTCTAAGGAAATAAAAAAGCTTAGAGCTCTGTTACCGTGACAAAAATTTGAGAATTAGCTTAATGAGTTTATTCTAACCTATGATGCACAGACACGGACACAGCGACACGGATACGACACAACACGGACACGGACACGGGACACGTCAGTTATTGAAAATATAGGACACGGACACGGCTTGGACACGTTATTATACTTTTTTATATTTAAAAAATAGTGTATAAAAATTAAATAAGTATAATTTTAAAAATAATTTGAAAATAATAAGTTATTTAACTAGATTTTGTGCTTAAAATTATTAGTATTAGGAAGTCGAGAGCCATACGTCGATGTCGTTTATGAGTCACCGAGGAGGAGATGAAAATACCTTCACTGCAAAAAAGAAATGAAAATGAGAATATTTGATGATTGGGTATTAAGTGCAGACGTTGATTTGGTATTGTGGATAGGAAATAAGAAATTTATTTTAAATCCCACTAAACACAAGAAATTATATTTAAAAAAATTCATTAAATATTTAAGATACTTGTGTCGGACACGCGTGTCCAATTTGTATTTAATATTTATTAATCGGACACGTTTTCGGCGTGTCCGACACGTGTCGGAGGAGTGTCGGACGAGTGTCGTGTCGGACACGGTGTCGGACCCTGCACGCCTCTTTGAGGAGAAGTGTCGGTGCATCATAGATTCTAACATATGTACAAAATTTATACAATCCTACGAAATCAAGGACTAAAATTTTGGAATGCAAATAACTATAGAATAGTTACAGTAAGAAAGAAATAATGCTGAAAGGATATGTGATGTCCAGAATTCTCTGTAAGTCTGGATATCCCGTATATGTTTTTTTCTATAGCCAAGTAGCTCCTATGGATTGGTGACATAGCAGCTAAAATTGCACAGATTTATGAGGGGTTGTGGAGATGGAGCCAGTTGCAAATCATCCCGCTGATATTGAGCATGTCGCTGAGGTAGAGGCAACGCACAGGTCTAAGCGGTGAGAGTCTATGGGCAGTTATGCATAACTTCAGGAATACTTTTGAAAAAACATATAAACTTGGCCATCTAATAAATGAACTTTTACCTTTTTGTGGAAATACTTTTATTACTATGCTAGCAATTATTTTTGAAGTTTTATTATGCTGTTGTATTGCACTTGATTGAACCTCCTTATTGAATTTATTTTCTACCAAAGCCACATGATATACTAAAATTACTTGTTTATGCTTTTAGTTTGAGTTGGTAAGTTGTGAGATTGACCTAAGAAGTCTAAAATGCCTTCATGAAAAGCTTCCTTCTTTCAATTCTTGTCCAAATAAATGGTAAGGTTGGTTCAGATTTGATGAGTTGAGAGATTCAATTGAATGGACACCTAAAAAGGTTTGGGACTAAAATGAACGCATCTAAAAAGTTTGAGGAATATTTTGATTATTTAATCTTTTCTTAAGAGACACTTTATCTGTAGCATTGTTTGAACTTTAATGGTTAATGCCTGGAAGATAAGTCTTTCTTATTTGGTTCATCAATAACAGAGATTGACGGCCCTGGAAGAATCGCTGACTAAAGTGGGCTCCTCTGATCCCTTCGCTGTTTGTGCTGTTATAGACAAGTACTCAGAGCAATTTCCTTTGAAAGAGACTAGTGCTTTTAACAGGTAGTTCCCTTTTCTCTTTTTATCATATTCCGGGCTTTGCATTTTTTTTTTCTTTTTAAGGTCAACCCGGATTACTTAACGGTATGATTTTAAGTTAATGAATATCGAATTTATGTCAATTAACCCCTTGTCTTAGATACAAGAGCATCTACTACTTTTCAATGATGCCAGGTATGCTTTATGAAGATAGACCATAATAGACGTATATTCTAAGAAAAAATTATCCTTCATTTAGTCTGCTAGTCTTATTTTTTCGACCTTTCTTTGAATTTGTTGCTTTTTGTCACCTCATTGTTTCTAATGAGTGACAGACAATAAAATTTACACGATGGAATTCAAAATTTTGAACCCCAATAAGAAAGAAAATTATAGTATGATATCCATCTAAATCCTGTTTGGGGATGTAATGTATTTTAGTAAACCACTTGTTTATGGCATTGACCTTGAGCTAAGAATTTGTGAAAATAATGACTAACTAGCATTGGTCTAAAAGAATAATAAACTGGTAATTGATGGATGGAATAGTTTTCCATAAACGGAAAGCAAATGTATTTGGGTAAGTATAAAATCCTTGTGTGATTTCTACTGGTTAGCCAATTAATCAGAAAAAGGAAATTTATAGATGACGGGTATGTGGACCCATTCTCGGGATCTTGATTATCACTGCGTTGCTCAACGGCAATTTATAAGTGCAAAGGTACAAGTAAACTATGTATTTGCAGCTAAATCAGGGGCATCCTCACCTGAAGACAGTTTTTCTTGCACTTAATATCTTAGTAGAATTACATATTTTGTCTCTTTTATGTAGAAAACTTACTAAATCTGACGCAATATCAAAAATTAAGTTTAGATTTATTTTCAGTAATTTTGATGCTATTAGGATTTTAGATTTTATTTATTTATTTTATTAGAAAAGTTATTCAATTTGGATGAATTCGTGGAAAATTTCTAATTTGAATTTGAATTATTAGTATTAGATTTAGTTTAAATTGGTTTAGATTAGAATTTAAAATTTTGATCTTATCTAAATCTGTTTCTATAAATTTGGATTGATTGTTTAGAATTGAACATATATTGATGAGTAAATGAATGCCTTTTATTTTGTGGCAGTTGATTATTATTGCTTTTCTCTTTTGAACTAAATTGTGGTTACAGATCTTTTTAAGTTGTGTATCAAATTTCTTCTTCACTCCATCAAATGTGGCGTCAAAGCCAAAATTAATCAATTATAGCGGCACTATCTAGCTTAACATGTAATAGTTCATGCCTCCAAGTGTACATCCGATTTTGTGTCACGACCTGGCCCGGCTAGCTCGATATAATCGGGGCGGGAACAGTAGTCGTACGAAAAACACATATAAAGCATTAACAGTTCCAATTAAAACTTAAATGTCATATCACAAATATCGTCCAGAAAATGAAAGAGCCACTAAATAACATCAAATAAAAGAGAGTTTCATACTGGTCATCACACATAACTACTAAAACTTTCAACCCATCAACATTACATAAGCTCTCACAATTACATAAACTTCAAAGTCAAACTTAAACTCACAAACTACAACGAAATTAACTCAAAGACTCAAACTGAAATCATAAAAAATGAACCTTTCATCCCGAGGTCCCCTACGACGATACGTATAAGGTTGTCGAGCAGCCATCACTTCTCTCCTGAAAAATATTTTTAAAAGAAGAATGAGCCAACGCTCAGCAGGTAATTCATATCTCAGTTAATTTCATAAAATGCATATATCAAAAACATTTATATTTTGAAATCATTTCATATCATTTTGCAAGTCATAATCTTTAAACTTTTCAATTTTACTTGCATTTTCCTTTCTTTAACATTTCATTTCTTTCATTCTTTCCTTTCACCTTTTTCATATGTAATGCAAAATGCAATAATGTTATGCTAAATGTATATACCCATCGCGGAAGAAGTACCCTTATTCTTACTGATCTGGTACGCGGACAAATTTTTTTGTTTATTTCCTTTACCATTTGGCTCCGTAGAACCCCATTACCATTTTGGCACTTCCGGATCAACATGCATGTGAAATTGTTATTGCTTTTAAATCTTTCAATTATGCTCAATTATCTTTCATAAACTTTATATATTCCATGTTCAGTATTTTTCATATGTTTTATATGCTTTCTAAAATAATGCATGAAATGAAAACATAAAATTTCAGGATATTCTTTAAATCATAGATATAAAATATTTGACAGTAAAGCATTTTGACAGTAAAATAAATGTATTAAATCTCTTTTTAAGCATAAATAAATTTTGCACTTATAAACTTAAATTAGGTATGAACACCTACCTCAAACTAAGTACGGTACGTCGCTTCGACATAATTCTTCCACCTTATCCTTTAATGATCACAACCTAAGAAAGTTAATAAAATAAACGTGTCACATAAATTAAATTTTTATTAAGGCTTAAGGCTAATTCTAAGTCTAATTGCTAAATCCATCATTTTCCCTTAATAAATTCATACGACATTTAATAATTATTTAATTAAATAAATCTTAATTTTTGGATTTAATTAAATCTAAATTTTTGGAAATTCATAAATCTTTAATTTCACTAAAAATATTGCTCCAAAATTAATCTCTAACATATAATTATAATTATATTATAATTTTTTGATTAAAATAATCATGAAAATTATAACAACAAAATTTTTATCAAAAATCTAAATTTATGCTTTAAAAACATTTCTAATGTCTTTGGAATAATTTTTCTAAAAACACTTAGTAGCAATTAGGTTTTTAATAAAAAGCCCTAAAATTTTATTCTCCAAAAATTCTTCAAATCTTTATGTTTTTACCGTTAAAATGTTTTCCTAATTGTTCCTTATTAATTTCTTAAAGAAATTTTGGGAGAACATTTTCTAGCAAAAACCCTAAAAATTTCATCTCCAAAAAACTTGAAATCTAGAAAGTTTCGTTTTAAAATAATCATACCGGAACACTCCTCTCGTCGTCCTCTTCGATTTGGACTAAATCTTTCGTCGGAAGATCGTCGTCGGAGCCACCCTCGCGGAACCCACACCGTCCGCCCGTCCGCCTCTCCTCTCTTTTTCGCTCGGTTCACGTGAATGGGGGATAAAGAGGGCTCGATTTGCCTATTAAGGGAGAAAGGAGGATTGCCAAAAGTCTATTTTACCCTCACTTAAGTAAATTCGGCATATAAAACAGTTAGGGGTATTTTCGTCATTACTAAACTCCCGAATTTTATAATTTCAAAAATACTCATAATTAAATATAAGTCTTATATATCAAAATGATTAGAATTTTGCAAGAAATTTTCTAAAATTATTTTCGCTAAATTCCGTTAAAGTTGAAATTTTTACTTAAATCTCGTCGCGGCGCTTTGAAAAACGTGCGAGGTTTAAAAAGATATTTTCGGGTTTTACAATTCTACCCGCCTAACAAAAATTTTGTCCTCGAAATTTAAAAGAAATGCTTAACAGTAAAGTCATACCTTAGTCAAACAAATGAGGATGGTTCTCCCTCATTTTTTACTCTTTCTCCCAAGTGGCATCCTTCTCTGAACTATGCTTCCAACGCACTTTTACAAAAGGAATTGCATTGCTCATCAACTGCTTAACATCATACTTAAGGATTTTTTCTGGTTCATTCACAAAAGTTAAATCAGGTTGAATGTCTACTATATCAGTACTAATCCTCTGAGCCTCATCTGAAATATATTTCCTTAAAGAGGAAATATAAAACACATTATGTACTCCACTCATGGGTGATGGTAGAATCAACCTATAAATCACATTCCCAATCCTTTCTGAAATCTCAAATGGACCTACAAATCTTGGATTCAGCTTTCCCACTTTGCCAAATATCATCACTTTTTATTGGACTGACTTTGAGGAATACAAACTCTCCTACATCAAACTCAACTGGTCGGTGTTTGACATCATAATATTTCTTTTGTCTGTCATGCACTGACCTCAATCTATCTCTGATCAATCTGATTTTTTCTGTAGCATCATCAACCAGATCAGCACCAATAATCTTTCTTTCCCCTGTCTCAGCCCAAGTTTAAAGGTGTCCCGCACCTTCTCCCATACAAAGCCTCATAATGAGCCATACCGATACTTGCTTGGAAGCTATTGTTGTAGGCAAATTCAATCAAAGGTACATATGCCTTCCACTTATCATCAAAATCCAGAACACATAACCTGAGCAAATCTTCTAAGGTCTAGATGGTTCTTTCTGACTGCCCATCTGTCTGAGGGTGGAAAGCTGTACTAAAGGTAAGTCTGGTACCCAAAGCTTCCTGAACCTTCTTCCAAAATCTAGAAGTGAAGCTCCCATCTCGGTCTGACATTATAGTCTTAGGTACCCCATGCAATCTGACAATCTGATCAACATACAGGCTTGCCAATTTCTTAACTGGATCAGACTGTTTGATAAGTATAAAGTGTGCAGACTTAGTTAACCCATCAATAATCACCCATAAAGCATCACATCCTCTTCTAGATCTGGGTAAACCAACCACGAAATCTATAGCAATGTCTTCCCATTTCCACTCTGGTATGGGTAAGGGCTGCAAAAATCCTCCTGGCTTCTGATGTTCAGCTTTAACCATCTGACATGAAATACATTTGGATACAGTATCTGCCACACTTCTCTTCATTCCTGGCCACCAAAACACCTCCTTCAAATCCTGATACATCTTGTTACTGCTATGATGAATGGTGTAACTGAAGTAGTGAGCTTCTTGAAGGACTTCTTTTCTTAAGTCATCCACATCTGGAATGCACAATCTGCCCTTATATTGTAGCAATCCTTCACCATTAAGTTCAAAATCTTCAATGTGTCCCACACTAACCATATCCAGTATCTTCTTAAAATCTGCATCAAGTGGCAAAGCTTCTCGTACCCTTTCTGGAAAGGTTGATATAATTGTAGTCTAATTCAATCTTATAAATTCTGCATCTTTTGGCTGAACCACCAAAATCTTCAACTTCTCCAAA